TATTATTCATTATTATTATTAATATTATCATAATATATTAAATTTTTTTTATTGAATTAATATTTAATATTATTATTATTTAAAAATTTAATTTTAAAATATAAATAACATTGTAAAAATATTTTTAATATTAATGTATTAAATATTACATATATTATAATTAATACATAATATATTACAAGGATATTGAATCAAAAAATTATCAATTATTTTATATATTATTTCAGAAAGGATATATAATTAAAACAACAAATACCAAGAAATATGTCAGATATCCATTAGTTTTTACTCGTATAGTGGATGGAGCTTTGCAAAATTTATTAGATTTAGTGTTTCAAGATTTTGTTGGTCTTTGGCTTGATGAATTAGCTTTTAATTCTGAACAAATAATAAACAACATGAAACAAGATATATGGGGAGCAATTCAAACATTTCATGATCGCTTATCAAAAGTAGATCACACAAAATTAGTTGTTTGTAGTATAGTGAATAAAATAACATTTCATTTTGAGAAAATTAGAATTGCTCAAACTGCTTCGTAAGTTTAACTATATTTTTTTATTTAAAGTTTTATTTAAAGTTTTATTTAAAGTTTTATTTAAAGTTAATGATTTTTAATAAAATTTTTATCAAATATTATTATATATTTTGTGATATCAGTTTTTAATATTAATTGTTTAAATAATATATTATATAGATAATATAAAAAATTCTATTTTGTTAAATGTATTTAAATAGGGCACAAGGTGATGATCCAGTATTTATTTTATCTACACATTTAATGTCACCTACAGCAGAATTAGATTATTTGAAAAAAGTTAGTGAATTATATATTTTACTTTTATTACCACCTTGTTATTCTCTTGCACCAATGAAATATTTATTGAGAGAAATTCTTGCATGTAAAAGTAAGTATGTATATATATAATTATAATATATACAACATATATTTATTTCATTCTTTATATCTTTTATTAGTTTTAAAACCTGCAATAGATTTAATAACAAATCCAGACTATATTAACCAGAAAATTTTATCATATATTAATCAACAACAGCTTGCAGAAGCAATGCATAGAAAAACATATGAATATGCTGAATCATTTGAGGATTTTATTCGTATGATTAAAAGCTCTAAAGATTTAGAAGTTTTGAAGCATATTAGATATAATATTGTTACTGAAATTATGCAAGCTACAACAATACAAAATATTAAAAGAGCACAAGGTTTAGATCCAGATAATAATGCATTTGGAAAATCTGATGCCATTCAAGCTCGAAAACTAAAGAGATACATCAGTCAATTGACATATGCTAAAAATACATGTGAATGTCATATGCAATCATTAGGATGGAATGGATATCCTGTTCAGGTTATAAAATTATTTTCATTTAAAATATAATAACTTTAAAAATAATTTTTATATAATAAAAATATTTAAAAATAATATTTAAAAATAATTTTATAGGCTAATGATGTTACTGATGCAGCAATGGTTACAGAAGAAACAATCTTTCCATTACAATATATTTTAGACAATGTAACAGGTAGACGTTATCTGTCACAATTCCTTGAACAAGTTGCCAGTCAAGATTTGATTGGATATTGGGCAGCTGTGCAAGAATTACGTAATGCAGATAAATCTAATTGGCATCAATTAGGAGCTGAAATTTTTTACACTTACATTACATCCCCAACTGCTGAAATAAAAATTGATCGAACTATTCGTAAAAGAATGGAAAGTTTTTTATTAGGTGATAAAGGGCCAAATGTATTTTACGAAGTTCAAGATAATGTTGTTAAAACTTTAGAAGAAAAGTATTATCCTTCATTTGTAGTTAGTGAACAATATAAAAATATGCAAGAAGCACTTCTTAATGAAAGAACAGATGGTTAGTGTAAATATTTTATATTTAGAAATTTATATTTTTATTTTCATTTTTATATACATTATTCAATATAATTTTATATTTTAAATTATATTTAGTATTATATTTTAAATTATATTTAGTATAAAAATATATTTAATATATTTATATAATATATTTATATATTTATATAATAAATATATATATATAAATATATATTTAATTATATTTAGAATTTAGTAATATGTAATAATAAATATATTTTATAATTATATATATGTTTAGATTTAGTAGAAGATCGACGTATCGGAAATGGAGCATTATCAGAAAATATGTCTTTATTTGTTGGCGAACATTCAAACTATGCTCGTAGTAAATTGGATCAACTGAAAGAAAAATTAAATAATAAAATGCAAGCTTTACAAGCATTAAAATCTTCATTAAAACCAGAAAGCAAGGTTTTAAATTTTTTGGCCAAAGAAGTTGAATTGTTACAAAGTGAAAAAAAACAGTTAGAAGCACATTTAACTCATACAGAAATGTGGGCAGAACATTTGGGTCATTGGAAAGCAGAAGTACAGAGTGCGGAAGTAAATAAAGTTTAAGTTATTAGAATTTAATTAGAAAAATTTGTCTCATATTGTTTAATT